CATGGTTGTAGCCATTTTGTATACAATTTCCCCAGCTCTACCCAGTTCACTTTGCATCGGTTTCATACAAGTCTTGCAAAGCTTCTGTATTCATCATCTTCATCATTTGTTACAGCACAGGAAAATTCTATTACATCCGCAGCCCACAGCTTGGTCAACCATTCCCCAACCATTGGGCATCTACTTTTTTCCAGTTCTTTGCTATCACAAAAAGCGCCACTATAAATACTTTGGTATATACAGAGTGTACCGAGCCTTTCTGTTTTGTCAATGACCTTCCTGGGATGTGTTTCTAGCAGTGGCATCTCTTGGTCAAAGGGTATGGGCATTTTAGTCACATTAATCACAAAATTCCAGATTGCTCCCCAGAATGTTGTATTAATCCACAACTCTACCAACAATGCAATAGTGTTTTTCTTTCCACAACCCCTCTAGTATAGACTATTCCCACCTTTTGTCATTTTAACCAAATTTTCTGGGTGGGAGATGAAGCCTTAGAGTTGTTGTGATTTGTATTTACCATATCATCAGTGATTTAGACTTCATCTTATGAACATTTGATGAAATATCTAATTTATTCTTATGGATGAGATGGAAGGATGTGGTTTAGATAATAACAAAGCTTTACTGGAGGGGCCAAAGAGTAGTTCAAAGTCATCTTGGAAGGCATCTAGTGCCCTAAGGCCCTGTCTTTGGCCCTCTTTTGTTTAAGATTTTTATTATTGACTTGGATAAAGGAATAAATGGCATGCTTTATCAAATTTGCAGATGAAAAATTAAGGCAAGCTGTTGGATGACTGAGTCCCCATCCAAAACAATCTATCTGGGTTAGTGCATTGCCGTGACTCAAATAACATGGCCAATTCTAGGGACAAATGAAAAGTCTTACACTTGGGTTTTAAGAAATCTCCCTCGTAAGTCCAAGGTGGGGGAGGCAGGATTATGAAAAATGCATCTGCAAAAGACCTGGAGACGTCAATGGCCAGAAGCACCTGATGAATCCCCAGAGTGATGGGGGAGCTGCCCAAACTGACCAAAATCTTAAGCCTCGAGGAGAGTGTCCGGGAAAGCGAGGTGCCCCCAGCATATTCTATCCTGGTAAAACCCCATCGAAGGGGGCTTTGTTCTGTTCTGGGAGTCACATCTTAATATGGACAGTGATTAGCTAGAGAGTGTCCAGAAGAGGGGGACCAGGATGGCAAAAGGCAGTATTAGGGCCCATGATGGGAGTGAGGATGCGTAACCTGGAGGAGAAGCCTTAGGAGGACTACAAGAACTGCCTGCAATGGGGCCATGGAAAGGCTGAAGTTGTGTCTCTCACCCCCATAGACAATCTGCTGCCAAGGCCCCGATGATTTCACCTTTCAACATCTCATCTCTAATTGGCTGTCCCTCAAGCCTGTCCTCCTCATCTCTGCTTCCTGACTTCCTTCAAGACTCAGCTCAAATTTGACCTGTTGCAACAGACCTTTTCCAACCCCGGCCCCCCTCCCCCACCCCCATTACTAGAGCCGCCCCACTGAGATTTCTTTATATCTGCTCTTAGAATGGTCTGTCATTGACACCAAAACTGTGGGATGTTTCATTATTAAGATCATAGATTATGAGCTGGAAGGGATCTCAGATCTTCTAGTCCAACCTTCTCATTTTATAAAAGAGGAAACTGAGACTCAGGGAGGTCACATGCCCTGTCCAAGATCAAACATGTAGTTAAGATTTGAATCCAGGGACTTTGACTTCAGAACCAGTCAATGCTTTTCCACAGAAACACCCTTAGTAAGGTCTCTACTAAAATCACTTTGTATCTGTGTTGTGTGTGCTCCTCTGAGGGCATTGTATCTGGAGGGGATAGACGGAGCACTGTCCCTCTTTGTCCCAGTACAGGAGGTGCCTTGGCATCAGCAGGAATTGGTTTTTTTCCTTAACAGTATTTCATTTTTTTCCAATTACATATAGTTTTCAACATTCATTTTTGTAAAATTCTGAGTTTCAAATTTTTCTCCCTCCTTCCCTTCCCTCCCCCCTCCCCAAGACAGCAAGTAATCTGATATAGTCTATACATGTACAATCATGTTAAACAGATTTCTACATGAGTCACATTGTGAAAGAAGAATCAGAACAAAAGAGTAAAACCACAAGAAAGAAAAAAAAGAGAGGGAGAAAACTATCTGCTTTGATCTGCATTCAGACTCCATAGTTCTTTCTCTGAATGTGGTTAGCATTTTCCATCATGAGTCTTTTGGAATTGTCTTGGATCATTGTATTGCTGAGAAGAGCTAAGTTATCAAAGTTAGTCATTGCACAATGTTGCTGTTACTGTGTACAACGTTCTCCTGGTTCTGCTCACTTCACTCAGCATCAGTTCATGTAAATCTTTCCAGTCTTTTCTGAAATCTGCCTATTATCATTTCTTATAGCACAATGATATTCTATTATATTCGTATACCACAACTTGTTCAGCCATTCCCCAATTTATGGGCATCCCCTCAATTTCCGATTCTTTGCCATCCCCAAAATAGCTGGTATAAATATTTTTGTACACATGGGTCCTTTCCCCTTTTTTATGATCTCTTTGGGATACAGACCTCGTATCCCTGTGCAAAGAGTATGCACAGTTTGATCATCCTTTGGTCATAGTTCCAAATTGAGCTTTAGAATGGTTGAATCAGTTCACAACTCCACCAACAATGCATTAGTGTTCCAATTTTCCCTCATCTTCTCCAACATTTATCATTTTCCTTTTCTGTCATATTAGCCAATCTGATAGGTATGAGGTGGTACCTCAGAGTTGTTTTAATTTGCATTTCTCTAATCAATAGTGATTTAGAGCATTTTTTCACATGATTATAGATAGCTTTAATTTCTTCATCTGAAAATTGTTCATATCCTTTGAACACTTATCAGCTGAGGAATGCCTTGTATTCTTATACATTTGACGCAGTTCTCTATATATTTTAGAAATGAGGCCTTTATCAGAAACACTGGCTATCGGCAAGAATTTAGTAAAGCTTTGTTGAATGGATGGAGCAAAGAAAAGCCCCAAAGTCCTGGTCTTCGTGGGTGTTAAGAGTGAAGTCACAAAGGGCAGCCATGAAATCTATCTTGGACAAGCTCCTTGGACTGGTCCAAGGATTGGGAAATACAGAGGCTGAACTAGAAGGGGCCTTGGAAGCCAGTCAGTCCAGCCTCCCTTATTTTGTAGATAAGGAACCTGAGGCTCAGAGAGATTAAATGATATAGGAGCATGATGTCATATAATCACAGGCTTAGAGATTTCCTAATTTTACAAAGTAGGAAACTGAGGCCTGACGAGGTAAAGTTACTTGGTCGGACATGGCCAAGCTGGGGTTTCCACATTCATCGTCACAGCATCAAGGGTGTCTTTTCCCTAAATGACCTCTTCACTTGGACAGCCAATGTCTCCCAATATGAAAGGGACTGGGCAGACCTAGAATTTCATTGGCAGAGAGAAGTCCTGTCAGGTAAGGAGACTCCCTCTACCAAGGCAGGTCAGCACCTTTCCTTGAACTTAAAGTCTTAGAAGCAGCAGGTAGTGCAGCGAATAGAATATTGGGCCCGGAGTCAGGACAACCTGAGTTCAAATCCAGCCTCACACATTTCCTAGCTGTGTGACCCTGGGCAAGTCAAGTAATGTCTGCCTCAGTTTCCTCATCTGTAAAGAAAGGATAATAACAGCCCCTTCCTCACAAAGTTGTTGTGAGGATCAAATGAGATAATATTTGTGAAGTGCTTAGCACACAGCCTGGCACACAGAGAGCTCTAAATATTTATTCTCTTTCCTTAGAGGACCAGAGCCCCTGGAGGTTGTGATTTGCCCTGAGCCACCCAGTCATAAGGAGTCAGAGATAGGGCTCTAATCCACCTCTCCTGGGCTTTGAGAGCAGCTCTTTATCCAGTACCACACCCTGCCTCTAATCCTAATTGATCTGAACTTCAAAAGAAGACTGCAAACTGCTGCTCCCAAAGGGGATGAAGGTGGTGACAGCTGCTATTTCCATTGGCAATAGTTCAAATCTGGCAGGTATATGATCCTGGGCAAGTCATCTCACCCTATTTGCCTCAGTTTCCTCAGCTGTCAAACGAGCTGGAGAAGGAAATGGCAAACCGCTCCAGTATCTTTGCCAAGAAAACCTCAAAGGGGTCATGGAGAGTTGAACGTGACTGAATAGCAATAGGGTTTGGAGTCTGGCTCTCTAAGGGAGGTGATTTATTTTGCTCATTCTGCAGATAGGAGATGGAGGCTCTCATTGAGGTCAAGAGATCTGTCCAGGGTTACACACCTAGGGGATATCTGAGGTGAAAGGAGATAAGTCTTTTTTGACTCCTAACCCAGGTGTCTCTTGGAGTTAGGCTGCCCCTCTTTAAAGAAAGTATGTCCGAGGTGCTCTCTAGACGGTATGACCTCAGCACGTCAGAAAAACAAAACAAAACAGCCTGATTGCTGAAATCCACAGGCAGCTTTCTAGCCAAGAACTGGGAGTTTTTGAATGCTTTAAGTCAGCTATTGTGGGGTGGGGAACTGAGAGGAATGGGGCGGGAAGAACAGGGGACTGAGTAGAGGTCGGGAGTCCCCCTCCGGAGGCCCATTTGCTGTCTGTCTCTGGGTAAGTCATTTCCTCTCTCTCCGTGCCTCAGTTTCCTCATCTGTAAAAGGGAGGGGCAGTAAGATTTGGATTAGAGGCCCACTTTCCCAAGCAGTAGAACAAGGCTCGTAGCCCAAGTTCTCTGAAGTGAGACTGACGTCATCAGGAGGAGCAGAGCGCGTTGGCTCAGACCGCCAGAGACGGTCAGAGGTCCAACTCCCTCATTTTACCGCAGAGGACGCTTCCTCCAGCGCCGGGATGGCAACGGGGCCTCAGGCTGCCTCTCTAAGTAAGCAGCCGGGCCAGGATTCGAACGTGTGTCCTCGTGTCACCCGAGACACACACAGATTGTCACCAGGTGGCTTCTAAGGACCCTCCCTGGCTCTCCGTCCGCAGCTGCCGCTCTCGGAGACCCCAGAGCCCCGGGGCGCGCTGGTGAACGGAGAGCCGGAGGAGCGGGCCGGGCGCACAGGCGCGCCTCCCCGGGGGCTGGCCCTTCTCTTCTCCTTCCTCCTCCTCCTCCTCCTCCTCTCGCCTCCCCCACTTCTGCTTCCCTTCCTTCTTCCCACCCAGCCGGGCGCGCGCGCAGGGCCCCAGGGGAGCAGAGCCGGCACGGGGCTCCGCGGCGATCCGGACCCGGGAGCCCGGGCCTGGGCCCGGCCAATTGTGCGCACGAGACTTCCCGGGACGGTCTGAGCAGCCCCGGCCGCCGGCCCTCCCTCGGCCCGCCCCGCCCCGCCCCGGCCGCCGGCCCTCCCCGCGCCCCGCGC